TGAGTGATACCAACCATGTAAATGGCCTTCTCCCAGCAACTAGCATATTTTTTTTTATTTTATTTTTTGTCTTTTTGAGCCAGGGTCTCACTATGCAGTTCAGGCTGGCCTTCAGCTCACTTTGTAGCCCAGGCTGGCCTTGAACTCACAATGATCCTCCTGCCTCAGCCTCCCGAGTGCTGGGATTACAGGCATGCGCCACCATGCCCGGTTGGTTCCCTGTCAGCTTTTGCTTGATTCCTGGGGCTCTTCTTTCTGTTCTCTTCACCAAGTTGTTGCGTTCCAGGTGTCTAGACTCTAAATCCTGAAGGTGCTGTCTTACGCTGCTGGCCTTCACTCCCAATGTCTTTTCTTCGGAAATGTGATCACAGAACTAGAATTTGAACCAAATTTATTGTAACGCGCTTATAGCAACTGCTGTCGTATTGTTTCTGTTACTAAACTGGGAGATCTCTCTTCTGTCTCCTTTACCTGACATATGGTATGCATACTTGGAGTTTTCTTTTTTCTGTGTATCACAGAGATTGTCCAGCCATCTGTACTGCTTTCTATAGGTAATAGGTGAAAATTTTCTAGCCTACTTTTAACACTAAACCGTTCTATACAGCTTCTGAATTCATGCAAGGATGTGAATTCCTGCATCCCACTTCATTAAAGATCAAATCCAGCTCACAGAGACCTTAAGAAACTTGAGATCCAGTTCTCAGTCCAATATATCTAATATCTCCTTCTCCATTGTCTGAGATACCACTCATAATTCCAGGAAAAATTAAATTCCCCTTTTCAATTTTATTACCTGAGCATATGCCTTCCTTTTTTTCTTTCAGTGTGTATTAAGTTCTTTTCATTATGTTTTCTTCCTTGTTTATTAAGTTTGGTTGTATATCTAGAATATATTTTACTCACCATTCTCATTTATATTGTCACTGTTTGTAGAGAAATCTTCACATTTAAATGAAGAAAATGGTCTCCACAAATGAAAGTAAACCAGAATTTATTAAGAAGTCAAAGCGAGGAAGACTAAGCACATACAAGAAATAGTATATAACGTAAAATATTTACAATCTAAGAAATAATTGGTTTCATAGCTGCAAATTTTAATATGATTATGAGAAAGGCAGAACAAAAATGACTCCTAAAATGGAGAGTAAAAGTCATAAAAATTTGTAATACAAACTTTTCATTATATTATTGCTGCAAAATTTTAAGTTTGTAGCCTTCCCACAGATCAAGAGACACAAGAACACCTCTACTACCTCTGTTTCTACCATTTAAATGTAAAAGACATACAAGATTTCACTGTTAACTACTTTTAAAAGTAAGACTAATTGCTAAAGATTTATATATATATATATATAGTGGCTTTAGCACTTTCTCTTTTTGGTTATCCAACTTCAGAATATTTCTCAGCTTTATGATTATTAACATCTGTGGATTGGGAGCCATGACAAATATTTGAGATTTCCCAATTCATGGACTTTGGTTTCCTGTTTTGCCTTTTATTGTGGCAGGTCAAGAGAACTTTGCAATTCTTTTCAGAGAGACTTTGAAATGAAAATAGAATACTTTTTCGTTTTTCTTTCCTGTACTCATGCACAAAAATTCACCTGAATTTTTTTTTCTTTAGCCATTAGCAATCTACTTTTATCTTTTTCTTGCATCTTATAAAATCCTGCATTTACTATGAAAACATCAGGGGAAGGGAATTTATTCATTACTATTCATTTGTCCACCTTGCCAGTTTTTCCAAGACAGATTATGGACTGCTTAGCTCTATCAGGGGAAAAAAAAATTCTGCTCCACTATGTTCTGCCTGCTTATTCCAAATCTGACAAATTCACAGATATGTTAAATATCAGTAATGGAAAAAAAGACAGAGATTTCTCATACGAATTTAACTGGTTTCTTGTTATTATTCTTACTCTTCTTTTGCTCTTCCCTCCATCTTTGTCTCATAATGTCCATGGACTAGTACCATTTTTCCTATTTACCATTTCCCCTCTCGGTAGAGTTGAAAGGCCAAATAAACAAACACACGGTTTCTGTTATTCCACCCAATCACAGAACAGTTATTTCCCTGCAGAATAACTGACTGAAGCAAAAAGAACAGAAAACAAAACAGTTTCATCATGTGCAGCTTTGCTTAACTTTTTCAGAAACAACCCCTTTTCAGAAACCAATCTGAGTAAGAGCTGTTGGGAGTAGCCATCCGCTTAAGAAATAAATGAAGAAGCAGCAAAAAAGTTTTAGTTGTTGCACTACACAAAAAGAGAACTGTGGTTTGACTGTTTCCTGAGTACTTATTCTAATTTTCCTGACAGTAAGTAAAGCTTTTATTTTTTTGTGTTATGCCAACTATATGAATGGACACTGTGAAAACCAATCTATTTCTCAGACGTTTCCAAATACTTATATGTTTTATGTTAAAGACTTAGTGTATGAATTTTTGTACTTTTTCCCATCCAACATTTATTGTGTAGATAAACAGTAAAGTATGGAAAACTAGTAAAATTTGCTTTCATATTAGCTGAGGGGGAATTGTGTCAAAATCATGATTTGCAAACTTGAGAGGTTTAAAGTGGGGTATTATAAAAACTGAAAAAATGGTTTGTGTTTGTTTATTTGAAATCATTTAGGTATAAAATATTTTCTCCTGTAAGTTTCTTCTTCTTTAAAAAATGTTTTGTAGTTTGTTTCTTGAGTTACTCAGGGACTTCTGAATTCAGGAAAACAGAGAACTCAGTTTATCTTCCTGTGTCCCAGAATCAAGTTTCAAGTAATTTGAGCCTGGATTATTATCCCACATCCTAATTCATTTGTTAAAAGTTGTTTACTTCATTCTGAAGGTAAGTACTTTCACTGAGGTTATATCTGTTGAGCTTAATTTGTCATTCAGATAAATTCAAATAGAATTTTGCTATTAATTTGATTAGTTCTGAGATTCCTATTAAAATGCAATGAACAAGAAATGACTACTAATAGGATTAGATATAATTTAATTATTGTATTCACAATTTTGAATTCTGATAGGAGGTAAAAATGTGAGGTTGGCTTCCAGATTACAAGCTCTTAACAGTAGATTTTCCACTGTAATACTCTGTTATCATAAAAGAGTGATAATAATCATTCTAATTCTCCACCCAAACTCACTCTACCAGACAGCTTGAAGGGAATATATAAATATTTGAGGTGAAATTTTAGTTATTACAGGGGCTGGGGATTTATCTCAGCGGCAAAAGCGCTTGCCTGGCAAGCGCAAGGTCGTGAGTTCGGTTCCTGGTACCGGAGAAAAACCAAAAAAAAAAAAAAAAAAAAGAAATTTTAGTTATTACAATAATATTTTAAACCATTTGAGCTGTTTGTAGAAGAACTATTTTAACAAAAAGTAAAATCAAAATTTTCTCCTAATACTTATTTTTCTGCTTTACTTTCTCTTTGTTCATTTAATGGACAGGTGAAATGAACAAAACACAGATAAGCATATATCAGCAAACTCAAGCACTTCTGCGTAAGAATTTTCTTAAGAAATGGAGGATGAAAAGGGAGAGCTCATTGGTATGTCTGATGGTTTGCCTCTCTTTACATTTAGCACTCTTATTTGATTGTTTAGTGATTACAAATGTTGTATTTTATTTGTCAGGCTGTATTTATTGATTTTAAGGTTTTCTCTAGTTGCAGTTTGTTTAATTCAGAGACTTACAGCAATTCCCAAATAGTAACATAGAACTGTAAAGAATAAAAGTATTAAACATATTTAAGGAGATGAAGTTAAAATTTAATTATATTGGTAAATTATGGCCAAATGTTACAGCTACCATGTATTATATAAGAAAAAAGTAAAAAAAAAAATTATTTGTAAAAGTTTTAGAGCCAAGAAATAGTAAAAATTTGCCTACTGTAAATTGAGAACTGTTGATTATGTAGTCTTATATTAAAGGCTATTAATTTTCTGCATTAAGATTATTCCCAAGTATTATAATAAAGTAACGCCACTGTTGGTTTGCATTAATCAAATGGTGGGCAAATGACAGGTGACTAGCCTACAACTTATGGCTTCTCAGAATGGAAGTCATTGGCTAAAGTTTGGTAGTAGAGAAGTGGGTTGGATGAGTGGAAGAATCTTCTCTAATCATTCAGGGACTAAAACTTCTTCATGTACGAGCTCTACCATCTTCCTAGATCCTGGAGATGTCCATGGAATCCTCTGAATCCAATCAGTAGGTCAAGAAAAAGATGAATTGAGACAGAAATAATATAGAAGATTGTGTTTAGCTCCATTATCCAGTCCTGATAAGGGCACCTGTGAATTCTGTCTACATTACGTTGGATAGAACTCAATCATTTATTTGGTCCCACTTACTTTTGGGAGCCTGGGGATGTACTCCAGCATTATATCAAGATGGAAGAGATTATTCATATTGGTGATCTACAGATAGTCTCTACATTCAAGCCACTCAGATCCTTCAGTTCTTCTTTCTTCTCCTCCCCCACCCTTTTATTTTTCTTGTTTGTTTAGTATTTACTGGGGATTACACCTAGATAGCACTGAGCTACATCTCCAGGTTAAAAAAAAAAAACTTTTTCTTAGAATTTGGAGTTGCCCAAAGGGCCTCAAACTTATGATCTTTCTCTCTCAGCCTTCCCAGTAGTTAGGATTATAGGCATGTGCCACCATGCCCAGCGTCTTTTATTTTCTAACACAATGATATGATAATTGATAAAAATATTGCTATTTGCCACTATGATCCCTATCTGGAAAACTCAGTGCCTTACAGACTCTAGAATTTGCTACCTAGAAATATGGAGATTGTTACCCTATAAGACATCCTGTTAGTTTTTACATAATCTATTTCCTTGAAAATAAGATCTACCTTGTTAGATCTTATTTTGTGGGAGGGAATGGTCTTCTGAAGTACTTCATGTTTTAATGTAAAAACTGACTTGTATTTACAAAACAGCATAAGAACAATGCAAACAATACAGAGTTACAGGCAAAGTAGTAGGAAGTTAATAATGGTTTTTGTATTATGTATTGATATCTTCAAAGTGGTTTCTCAGGAAAACAAATAGAGACTTATGCTATTTTGTAAATGGGTGTCTGTTTGTTAATATGTTTTCCTTCTTTTATTTTTAAAATAAATTTTAAAAAAAGACAAAACTTGACTTGTAGCACCCATCTAAAAATGATGGACCTGGTTAACAACTCAGGTATTTATTTCCATATTTCTAGGTATTTATTTTTCATTGGGTTGTCATTGATTTGAAGAGTACATAGTTAAACTGGAATTTGTCTTCAACAATTCATCAGTATTGACTGATTTTATGTGAAAAGTATCTAAATCCATTCTTTTCTATATTTTTAAAATGTTTTATAGGAATGGGGCATCCCAATACTTCTAGGACTGTATGCAGGTGTATTTTCATATTTTGGAGAAACTATCCAGTTTCCTGGAATGCCTCCTCAAGATCTTGGGAGGGTAGATAAATTTAATAGTTCTTCTATAATGGTCATATACACACCAGTCTCTAACATAACCCAGCAAATAATGAATAAAACAACATTTGCTCCTTTTATGAAAGGTAGGTGTACTAAAGGCAAGAAAGAATTACTGATTACTTTTTTCTATAAGATGTATACATGTTAATTTGAAGTCACAGTGATACATTCTACTAACTAAATAACTATCAGGGTATGTCAGTCTGGGTTGGAAGTTGTTTTCTTTCAGGATCTGAAACACTTCAGTCCAAGCTGTTCTTGACTTGATGGTTTGTGCTGAGAAATCTGCCATGATTCTGATAGGCTTTCCTTTATAGTGACCTGTTTCTTTTCTCTAACAGCTTTTCATATTCTGTTCTTTTGCTAAATTTCTGGGATCTTGATTATTGTATGTCTGGGTATAGATTTATTTTGGTTGTAGCTAATTGGAGTTCTATATGCCTCATTTACTGTATGTCAGATTCTTTTTCTATGCTTGGGAAATTTTCTGCTATTACTTCTGCAAAGTTTTTTATGTCATTTGTGTTGACTCCTGCTGTTTCATTGTCACCTGTTGCTCTTATGTTGTTTTCCTTTGCATTATCTTGCAGCTCTTGAATTGTTATTTTCTGGTTCCTTGTTATTTTTAAGAGTTTCTTCCTTTCACGATCATTAGCTGCAATACTGTCTTCAAGGTCTGAAACTCTATCTTCAGCTTCATTCGGTCGGTTTTGCCAGCTTTTGAGGAAATTTTAAATTTTCTGGATACCTGTTTGAATCTGTTTCCTACATTCTAATTCCTCCCTATATTGTTCATTCAAGCAGTTTTGCCAGCTTTTGATAGAATTTAAAATTTTCTGGATACCTGTTTGAATCTGTTTCATACATTCTAATTCTTTCCTATATTGTTCATTCAAGGTTTCCATCATTTTTCTATGCTCTTCTACTTTTTATCTATATCTTCTTTGGATGTGCTGAGCAATTCTTCATTATTGTTGTCATTTCTTTTTTTTTAACTGAGAGATTATATCTGATCTGATTTCATCTGTGACCTAATGGAGTATTTTCTTTATTTCAGTTGCTATCATTTCAGAAATTTCAGGTGTGTGACTTCCAAACTTTTCTATGTTGGTGTCTCCTGGGCTTGTTCTAGGTCAGGTGGAGGTCTGAGGTTGCATTTTGCTCTTTCATTTTATCATTTCCCTGGAGGTTCCCTACAGCTCAGCCTCACTACCGTGATGGTGTGGGAGTGGCAGGGCAAAGACCTGGGCAAAGGTCTCCAGTGCTCAGTATGGCTCCTGTGATGGGGTAGGGGGTAGGGTGCAGTCTCTGATGCTCTCAAAGCTTTCCAGGGCTCAGCTTGGCTCCCATCCCAGTGGGGGAAGGATGAGGGTGTCTCACCAAGGTTCCCAAAGCTGTCTGGGGCTCAAAAAGGTGTTTAAGTCACAAGAGTTATCCTTCTAAGTCTTCTCAGCTTGATGAAGATTCAGTTTGGGAAGGCCCACACTTCTGCTGGCCACAACAGGTGTATAATTTCAGATTTACAGAATAGTGACTAGAAGAATATATCCATTGGTGTGTGTGTGTGTATTTCTTTAATAAGGAAGTGCAACAATTATGATTTATAGCTCAGGAGAAGAATCTAATAAAAGATTGAGTCATAGATATTGCATCGTAATTATGGAAAATGAAATGGATAATGAAAATTATTCTTTTCTGCATGTAGTATCATTTGTAGACATCTTTAGAAGTCCTCATCCTAAATTAGGTCAAGATTAGAAATAATACTGTATTAAATTCATCGGCAAGTGGGGTACAATCTGGCTATTACTCAATTTCTAACAAGTGAGATTTCTGGGTGTTAAAAACAGTCACTTTATCTTGTTTTCTTTATAAGACAAAGGTAATATAAATTGTCTTTGTTTAAGGAAATACAACATCCAAAATTCTCAGCTATATAGTAACTAAAATATTTTTTGTGTATTTAATTTTCTTATTAATTACTTATCCCACCATAAAGTTATTTATGTACCTAACACTTGCCTGATGTTTACCATCATTAAAAGAAAACACTTAATTCTAATGTATTTCTCCTGATTCTAGAGTCTCGAACATTATATTTAAATTTCCCACCTTGCCTTTTAGTTCATTTGATTTCATGGGAAAAGATTTTTATTTTAAATATAATGGAATATCTAATAACACATTGGTGCATATCACATTTGTTTTGGTGAAACTCTTTGACAATTTTCTATGTCTATTTTTACCTTGTATTTCACAGAAGAAAGAATCATCGGGGTGCCAAATAAAAAATATATGGATAAATTGCTGTTACAGAATTTACCACATGCTGTGGGAATCATCTTTAATGATACTTTTTCTTACAAGTTGACCGTTTTTCAAGGGCCATTGGTGAAGGAAGATGATTTATCAGGTGAGTTTTCATATAAAATTTCATGACATAAAATTTCATGTTTTTAACTAAAAGAATAGGTGGGAGTGCACAACAGAGATTCTTTCAATGGCATCTGAGAAAATAGAATGACAGTTTATTGTTGAACTTATTCCAAATCCAAAAATACATTCCCACTAGAGTTTTACCATGTAAAGATTGTAGAATAATTCCACATATGCCTACTGAGCTCTTGGGTGTATGTTTCAAAGCATGCAAGGGTGATTGAGACTGATATGTCCCAACACCATGTGAGATTACAATGTAGTAGGAAAGATAGACATTAAATAATTAGTAGCAAATCTAATGTCTCCTGTGGGGAGTTAGCCCAGGAGTATGTCAGATCTGAGGAACTAGTGGCACTGTATTTCAGAGAGAAGAAAGACAAATGTGAAGAACCTGGGGTGAGAAAGAGAACTGTGGAAGAAGTACATGAAAAGTAATGTGAAGGGAGGATAAAGCTAAAGATACTCTTGGGCTAGGTCCTGTGGCATCTTGTAAACCTAGAATATTGGATAAGTCACTGATGCACTTTAATCCAGGCAAAATAAGCAAACCCTCCTGATTCAGCCCAGAGATGTATTGCAAATGTTTCATGGAGAATCTAACAAAACCTCCCAGTGAGTTGATGGTGCCTCCAGTGATAACGAAGGCAGCTGAAGGGAAGAGAGACTGATGGATTAGAAGATCCCTTAGAGAAAGAACTGATGCTACCAGTAGAAGCTGTTCTTTCCCATTCATTCACTGAGTGCTAATATATGCTCTGTGGTTCTGGGGACTGACATTAACAAAGCATAGAGCTTACTATACACTGAACAAAGTACAATAAAGCAAGGTTAACAGATAAATTGTAGAAGAGTGATTTTTAGCTATTTTATTTGTAGTGACTTCTGTGATAGTTACTTTTGAGCAGAGATCCAGATGAGCGGAAAGAGTGAAGTTCGTATTCATCTGGAATGAGAATATTCAAGAGCAAAGAATGTTGTAGGGCTGGAAAGTGTTTGGCATTTTGAGGCATGGCATGGCGTTTAGTATTTTTGAAGCAGAATGTTCACTTTCATCTTCTTTTTATTTTATAAGATTTACTGTGCATTTGTGGTCTTTATCAATAAAATTACCTTAGGAAGAACTTCCATTTGCTTCCTTTTTTGAGGGTAAAAGCTCTGACTGATGGATTGTTTTCCCTTAGATTCTTGTTTCTTATTCCCCTACTCCTCTCCTCCTATAATGGTGCGTATGCTTTTCTTTGTGCTTACAGCTCATTGCTGGAAGGGAAATGATGATTTTTCATGCATATTGTCCAGCTACTGGAATGGAGGATTTGTACCTTTGCAAAGTATCATCAATGCTGCTATTATAGAAGTAAGCCTTCAACTGAAAAGCTGTAATGTATCTTTTGGTTAGTTTAACATAGTATAATATAAACTAACTCCAGCAGCACCAAGGTTTTGATGAAAGAGGACTGTCTTAGTTCACTGATGTTGCTATAACCAAATACCTGATACTGGTTAATTTATAAAGAACAGGAATTTGTTTCTTATAGTTTTATAAGCTGGGAAGTATAAGATCAAGAGAACCTGTCTTCTGTCCAGCCCTTTGGTATAGCACTGATCTGTTCCAAGTAGGTGTACTGATCTAGTCCCTCATTACTTCATCACTTCCCAAAGTCCACATCTCTAATGTCAACACAGTGGGGATGAAATTTCAACATAAACTTTAGAGGGGACACATTCAAACCATAGAAATGACATATACTCAGGTTCCCTGCTATCTTTCACCCAGTTTCCCCTAATGCTAAAATCTTGCATAACTATAGTGCAATATTAAAACTAAGAAATTGACATCCATAACTCCACAAAACTTACTCAGACTTCAGCAATATCTGTCCTTTCAATAATGATTTATGTTCCTCTAAATTTTTAGACCACAACAAATCACCCTGTGATGGAAGAGTTGATGTCAGTTACTGCTGTAAATATGAAGACATTACCGTTTATTTCTAGAGGCATTCTGCAAAATGAGATCTTTATTTTACTCTGCTTGATTTACTTCTCCTCATTTATATATTTTGTATCACTGGAGGTTACAAAAGAGAGAAAAAAGTGTAAGAATTTGATGAAAATGATGGGTCTACAAGATTCAGCATTCTGGTGAGTGATTAACTCAAATAGTACACGTTGATTAACAGAGAAACTCACACAGTGAGAAAAGGTTATTCTTTCTGAACATCATGGTTTAAATGATGTACTGGCTGCTTTTTCTTTGTTATGAATTCTTGATTTAATACTTAAATTTGCCATGGAAAACAATGGTTACAATTTACTGAGCACTTTTTCTGTGCCATTAATACTCTAAACTAAGCCTGGGATAGAGGCACTGCCGTCCAACTTGTAAACAAGGAAAGTGAAAGTGAAAGAGAGTCAGAGGTGTGCAGTGCCTAGATGGTGAGTGTCGGATCTGGGACTCCAACTAAGGTGTTCTGATGTAGCTCTTCTGCTCTTCTGCTTAATCTACCAGTGATCAGCCATTTTCTCCAAGCTTCCTGGTGTTGAAGAAAGTAGAGTCCAAAAGGTTCAGAGACTTGGCCACCAGGCACTTATTTCTTTGAAGGAAGTAAATATCACATGTTACAGTTAAATGAGATAGCTCATGTAATGTGCCCAGAACATATAGCACATAGGCTAGCATGTAGAAAGACTTAACCAGAACTTTTGCTTGGTGTGTTAATATTTATATCTTCCATGTGCCACAAATGATTTACAATGATTGAGAAATATAAACGTGTTTATATACATGCCTTCATGGGTTTGTATCATAAAACAAATAACTGCATCAAAACAAAGAGCAAAATAACAAATAAGATTATTAAACAGAAAAGCAAATCATACAAACTCTAAACTCACAAGAAGACAGAATTTTACAAGATTATCAGCGATAGAATGTGTATTGCCTAGAAAAGTGAAAAAAAAAATCTGTTTACTTTACCCCCAAAGAACATAAATAGTTTTAAAATACTGAGTCATGGGGAATAACTCTCCATGTATCCCTCATATCAAGAAAATATTCTCTATGCATGTGGAATAATTTGTAATGGATATATAATTATTTATTGAATAAATCTTTGCAAGCTACACATTCCCTGCAATATTCTGATCTATGAAATTTTTATCTCTCTGTTAAGTATATTTTCCCAACAGAGAGAACTTTATTTTTAATTAAGTTTATTGGTATACATTAGATATACATAATGATCACATTCACCATAGGGAATTTACACCTGTACATGATAGATCTTGATTCCTCTTTTTTCCCCTCCCTTCAACCCTACTTCCCCTTCTTTAGAAAACTTTTTTTCCATTGTACCCTTCTTTTCTCATCTTATCATTTTACTTTTCTTCCTTTCCCCTCTGCCTTCCTAGTTCACCTTTCCTTTTGAAAATTTTCTTCCATTTCACCATATCTATTGTAAATTTTGACTCTTATTTATACTTTCAGTTTCTCACATCAGAGAGATATTGTAATATTTATACAAGTGTGTCTGATTTACTCACTTAAGAGTATGCTCTCAAGGTCCATCCATTTAGATATAAATGCCTCTAGTGTATCCTTCTTTATGGCGGAGTAGTACTGCATTATATAAAAAACCCATATCTTTTTTATCCATTCATTAGTTGATGTGCATTTGGGTTGTTGCCAACATTTAGCTATTACAGACTGTGCTGCTATAAACATGGGTTTACATATATCGCTGTGGTGTGATGTTTTTAATTCTTTGGGGAAGATACCCAGAAGAGGAATACCTGGGTCAAATGGGACCTTTAGTCTTAGTGTTTCTGAGGAGCCTCCACAGGGTTGCACCTGTCTTCACTTCTACCAAGAGTGGATAAGTGTTCCTTTTCCCCCACAGCTCCACCAGCATTTGTTATTGATTTCTTGACAATCACCATTCTTCTGGAGTGAAACAGAATCTGTGTTGTCTTGATTTGAATCTCTCCAGTGATCAATGACGTTGAACATTTTTTCATACATTTGTTTGGCATTCGCACTTTTTCATCTGAGAAGTGTGTACTCATCTCAGATGCCCAATTGGATCGGGTCTCTAAATTTGAGGAGTCTGATTTTTTTCAATTCTTTATAAATTCTAGATATTAGTCCTTTAAAGAATAGATGGCTAAAATTTTTTTCCCACTCTGGGTTGTCTTTTTACTCTGTTGGTGATTTCTTTGGCTGTGTGAAAGCTTTTTAATAAGAGGAGATCCCAGTTGTGGATTCTTTGTAGTATTTCCTGTACAATCAGGGTTTTGCTCATGAATTCTTTTCCTATACCTGTGTCTTCAAGGGTTCTACGTATTCTCTCCTCCAGTAGATTTAGTGTTTCTGTTCCAGTATTTAGATATTTGATCCATTTCAGTTTTCATTTAATATATGGTAAAAGATATGGGTCTAGTTTTAGTCTTCAGCATGTTGAAAGCCAGTTTTTCCAGGACCATTTATTAAACAGGCTATCTTTCTGTCAGTGAAGGTGTTTGGTCCCTTTGTAAAAGACAAGGTTGTATCCTTGGGTCTTTTTTGTTGTTGTGTTGACTTTTGTTTTTTGGGGATTTTTTTTTCTAGTACCATGTGCTTTTATTACAGTAGCTCTGTAGTATAATTTCAAGTCAGGAATTGTGATGCCACCTGACTTGCCTTTGTTGCCCAGAATTATTTTGGTGATTTTAGGTGTCTTCTCATTCCAAATGAATTTTAGGAATCCTTTCTGTATTTTTGTGAGGTATGCTAGTGATTTGTGATTGAGATTGCATTAAATCTGTGTAACAATTTTGGGAGTATGGCCATTTTCACTATGCTAGTTCTTCCTACCAAAGAGCAAGATATGGCTTTACATTTTCCGTTATCCTCCTCCATCTCTATTTTTAGGGTGCCCTCACTTGCAATATAGAGTTCTTTTACTCCCTTTGTTAGACTGATTCCTAACTATTTCAAATTTTCTATGCTATTGTGAAAGGTATTGTTTTCCTAATTTCCCTCAGCGAGTTTGCTATCTGTGTATTATATTGCTATTGAGTGTCAATTCTGTATCCAACTAGCAACTAAATTTGATTATTAAATCCAGAAATCTTTTGGTGGGGCTTTTGGGGTCTTTTATGTAGAGTATCATGTCAGCTGCAAATAATAATAATTTAATTTCTTTTTTTCCTATATTTATTCTTTTTATTTCTTTCTGTTGTCTCATTGCTCTGGCTAATGTTTCCAGAAATATATTGAATAGACATGGTGATAATGGATATTCTTGTCTTGTTCTTGATTTTAGAGTGAAAGCTTTCAGATTTTGTTCATCTAGTATGATGTTGGATGTTGGTTTGTCGTAGATTTTTACCAGATTGAGGTAAAGACCATCTATTCCAATTTTCTCTAGGGTTTTTTTTTTTTTAATCATGAATGAATGTTTGACTTTGTCAACTGTTTTTTTCATCTCTATTGAGATGATCATGTGATTTTTTTGTCTTTGGCTTTGTTGATATAGTGTGTATTGCACTTTTTGATTTATATATGTTGAACCATCCCTGTGATGAATCTTACTTGGTCATAGTGTGTAATCTTCTTGATGATCTGCAGCACTCTATTTGTCAGTATCTTATTGAGGATTTTGCCATTTATTTTCATTAGGGAGATTGGCCTATAGTTCTCCTTTTTGGTTAGAGTCTTCTCTGGTTTTGATATCAAGGTAATACTTGCTTCCAGGAATGACTTTGAGAGTATTATTTACTTTCAATTTCATTTAAGAGCTTGAGGAGTAATGGCAGTAGATCTTCTCTAAATTTCTTGTAGAATTCAACAGTGAAGCCATTGGAACCTCGGCTTTTTCTTTGTTGGTAATTTTTTTTTTGGTTTTTCTCCAGTACCGGGAACCGAACTCATGACCTTGCGCTTGCCAGGCAGGCGCTTTGCCGCTGAGCTAAATCCCCAGCCCCTGTTGGTAAATTTTTAATTACATTTTCAATTTCATTTACAGGTGTTTGGTTAGTTTTTATAACTTCTTGATTCAACTTTGGTAAGTCATATGTATCTAGGAATCTATCCATTTCTTCTGTTTTCCATTGTGTTAGAATAAAGTTTCTGAAAGTAGGTATTGATGATCTTCTGGATTTCCACAGGCTCTGTTGTGATTTCATCCTTTTTGTTCCTAACTGCACGAGTTTGAGTCTCTTGTTTCCTTTTTTTGATAAGGTTAGCTAAAGGTTTATCAAATTTAATATTTCAAAGAACCAGCTCTTCAATTCATTGATTCTTTGTATTGTTTTCTTTATCTCAATTTCATTAATTTCTGACCTGATCTTTATAATTTCTTCCCTCCTATGAGGTTTTGGCTTCATTTGCTCTTATTTTTCTAGAAGTTTGAAGTTCCACATTAGGTTGTTAATTTGAGGTCACTTGTTTTTCTGATAAGAGAATTCACCACTATAAATTTCTCTTGCAGGATGGCTTTCCTTGACTCTCATAAGTTCTGGTATGTTGTATCAGTATTATCATTTAATTGTAGATACAATTTAATTTAATTTAATTTAATCTGTGGCCCATTGGCTGTTCAGGAGGGTGTTAATTAATTTTCATGTGTTTATGAAGTTTTTGTGTTTTCTTTTGTCACTTACTTCCAATTTCATTGCACTATGGTCAGACAATATGCATGGAATAATATCAGTTCCTTGGCATTTATTGAAGCATACTGTATGAGCTAGTATGTGGTGTATTTTGGAGAACATTCCATGAGTAGTTGAGAAGAATCTCTATTCTTATATGGTGGGATGGAACACTCTGTAGACATCTACTATGTCTATTTGTTCACAGGTTTGGTTCAGTTCTGATATCTTTATATCGATTTTTTTGTCTAGTTGATCTATCTGTTTGTGACAGTGGGGGTATTAAGGTCCTCCATTACAATTTTATTAGTGCTTTATTTTTCATGTTTATTAATGTTTCTTTCATGTAGTTGGGTCCACTTGTATGTGGTGTATATATATTTGTGATTGTTATCTTTTCTTCTTGGAGTTTTCCCTTAACAAGTATGTAAGGATCTTCTTTATCTCCTTTGATCAGTTTTTGACTTGTTCTGGTTTACCTTCTCTGCAAATATAATAGCTACCCCTGCTTTTTTCTGCGTTCCTGTCACATGGAGTATTGTTTTCCACCCTTTAACTTTCAGGGTATAAATTTCTTGTTAAGTTAAGTGTGTTTCTTGTGTCAGAATAGTATTGGATCTTGTTTCTTATCCATTCTGTCAGTTTATTTTTTTATTGGGGAATTGAGGCCATTTATATTGGTGCTTATAACTGTTATGTATTTGCTTATCCTTATCATATTATTTTCCTGTTGTTGGTTCCCTGCCTTTCTTCTCTGTTTAATTGCTTGCTGTACCTGGTAGCTTCTTTCTATTGGTGTTCTTGGAACTGTGGTCTTTGTTATCTCTTTTTAAAAATATCCTTCAGAACATTTTGTACAGCTGGTTTCGTGGTCATGAATTTCTTCAGTTGTTGTTTGTTATGGAAGTGTCTTATTTCTTTATTGATTTTGAAAGATAGTTTTGCAGGGTACAGCAATCTGGGTTGGAGATTATTTCCTTTCAAGACCTGAAATACTTCACTCCAAGCTCCCCCTGATTTAAAGGTTTGTGTTGAAAAGTCTGCTGTGATTGTGATGGGCTTTCCTTTACAGGTGATTTGTTTCCTTTCTCTAGCAACTTTTAACATTCTATTCTTGTACTGAACTTCTGGAATCTCAGTTATTACATGGCTTGGTGTAAATTTATTTTGGACATGATTAATTGGGATTTCATATGCCTCACTTATTTGTATGTCAAATCTTTTTCCATGTTTGGGAAGTTTTCTGCCATTACTTCAGCAAACAGGTTTTTTTTATGGCATTTTTGCTGTGTCCAACTTTGTTTTTCTTTTCCAACTTTCTATTGACTATGATCCAAAGAGAATTTTAATTTATATGAATTGTAAAACAGAAAAAGAGGAAGTCATGTCTTTAAAAATAGAGAAGAATTTTTTTTGAAGTGCATATGGGAAAATAAAAATGGATTTATAGCCACCCACAAAGTTTGTTAGAAAGAAACACACAGGGAATCATTGTGCAAAGGGCTTCCTTCCAATTTAGAACAAGTCCTCTGGGACAGAATGGTGGTAGTCACCCAAAGCTAGAGAGTCTCCAATCAATCTCATATTAAAGTTGAAACAGTATTGTATATTTGAGCTGATTTGTTCTCAGGATAATTCTTAGATGTATGTAACTTAAAGCTAGGGATATGAACTCATATACGCATCCTCATAAGCAAGAAGAAAAAGATTTTAAAACATTTCCACAAAGTGCTGTGTATCTATTGGAAATACATTTCATGTTTTTTTCTTACTAATGTCATAAATGTGAAAAGTAACCAGTATTTATTTTTTAAGTATTATGTGTGAATTACTTTGTTTTTAGCTAGAAGGTTTTTATAGGTTTATTAGCATCTCTTAGCTCTACCCTGCAATGGGTTCTTTTTTTAGGTAATGTTTTATCTCTTTCACTCATAATCCTCCTATACTGTAGATTTTCAATTCTTTGCTGAAGTGTTTCCCTTCTGTATTCAGGAAGTGAATATAGCAGAATGAGTTGTACTTTTTAAACATGCTGATATTTCTAATATAGGCTGAAATATTGTAATATCCAGAAAATTAAAAATAAGTTAAGTAAGCAGCCCATGCAGCATAAATATGTTCTATTGGGACATACTCATGCAAGATCCTGGCCTTAAGTCTTGTGTTGTATTTTTTGCTGTTGAATTCATATTTAATTATGAAGTTTTAAATTTGCAAAAGACTCTGTAGAGAGAGCAAAAGTCTCTAGCTTGATGTGTTCCTTGTTGCTGATTTATTTTTGATTTTGGATAAGCCCTACTAACATAGGAGGGGTTTACATTCAATTTTCTTATCTTCAAAAAAGCAGAAATTTGGACTAATGCACCCGACAGTCTGTTAAGTTAAAATTAAATGCTAATTCTTAACAAGTACTTTGTAAAAGTATGAACATGAACATATCTAAAGCAAAACAGTGTGAATATATAAAGGCAAGCCATAATTTATATCAATTTAAGAAATCATGAGAAGGAATAGGAAGAATGGAATGTGCTTACTGGAGTTATGAAATTTCAGTTTTCTACTAGTTCCATAAGTAGAGTAGAGATGCATCTATACAGAGCTCCTCAAGAATGATCAAATTATTATATGCCCCTGATGTGTAAAGTTACTCAGTTGACCCATAGCTGTTAAGTATCATTCTATTCCATAATTAGGATAATTTGCAAATACCAACTAAAGCTGAAGATACAGTTTTTTCTTTTGAGTCAGAGTCTTTCTCTGTAATTCAGGCTGGCCTTGAACTCACCATGTAGCCCAGGCTGGTCTTTAACTCACTGTGATCCTCTGTCTTAGTCTCCTGGATGCTGAGAGTATCCGTATATGCCACCATGTACAGCAGGTATTTTTGTTTGTTTTTTGTGAAGATTCAATCTTTGACTCAGCAGTTTCACTTTACATATATTCTTGTGCATTTTCCCCAAAAGGCCAAATAGAAGAATATTCTGGGCTATACTGTAATGAGAACACAAATTAGAAACAATTTGAATGTCCATGAGCAGAAGACTAGGATATGTTGATACAATGAAATATTATAAAGCAGTGCATAATGTTCTTAATATTGATTGAGAAAGGCAAATATTAGAAGAATACATACAGAATGAGAGTTTAGAAGTATTCATACTCTTTCTATAATATATACACACAGAGCTGATGCCTGACTGTAGGTACCAGCAAGGACATACTATTGTTTATAGTCATTTACTGGACTGTAACATACTTTCCCATTGGTGTTTGCTTATACTAGTATTATCTATTGTAGCTAGATGGTAGAGGAAATCAAATTCATAGGAATTATATATGGTGTATGTATGAAAGTGGCTACCTTAGTAGGAGAAAGATAGATTATTGAGGTCAGGTAAGGAGTGCATAATGGGTTTCCCCCATACTATAATTATCATATTTATTAAGGTAGGTGACAGATACAAGTGTAATATCATTTGTTAGATGCTTTTGTATAGTTAAAATATTTCTTAATAAAGTTAAAATAATTTACATGATTTTGTCTTTATTTAGGTTCTCCTGGGGTTTAATTTATGCTGGCTTCATCTTCATTATTTCCGTATTCATTACAATTATCATAACATCCTCCCAAATTATAGTCATGACTGGCTTCATGGTCATATTTACACTTTTTTTCTTATATGGCTTGTCTTTGGTAAGTTCATACATTTATTACCACTTTTTCCATGTTAGATCTTAGCTATATATATATACGTATATATATATATGTATGTGTATATATATATATATATATATACATACATATATATATATATTTGGTATCTGGAGTCGAACTCAGGACCTTGTGCTTGCTAGGCAGGCACCTGTGGCACTGAGCTATATCCCTGGCCTGAACTTAGCTATATGTAACAAATATTAATGTGTGTATATATATATATATATATACATACATATATATATATATTTGGTATCTGGAGTCGAACTCAGGACCTTGTGCTTGCTAGGCAGGCACCTGTGGCACTGAGCTATATCCCTGGCCTGAACTTAGCTATATGTAACAAATATTAATGCCTTTAGTACCAAGTACAATCAGTCCCTTCAGAGTGTGTGTATGTGTTTACTTGATAAAATTTGGATATGAGGAAAAGATGTAAACCCACATGAAATTGGATCGCTCTTTTATGGAAAAGTCTGAATTAATCAAATGATGCCTTGAAAAGAAACATGATTTTGAGTTTAAAGCTACCTAAGACTTTTCTAGGTGATTGGCTGAAAATTCTCTGGACATACGTTTTTTTCCTGAAAGATCTCCATTCAAAACATTTCTTCCTCTGATTTGCTCTTCTCTTTTTTCTCCAAACAAGGACTACCAAAGTTTTCTGCAGAGATTAATGCACTAATTTAGCTTCATTCAGTTTTTCCAAGTCTGGATTTCTACTCTATCCTCAAAACTTCCTCCAGTCTCCTCCACCCTCTTCTTGGCCACAAAAGCCCAGCATATGAGAATGGTGGATAAAAATCCTCTTAAAGGGAAAGATGGAGAGGAGGACAGAATCATTACCCTGTCAATCCCATCACTTTCTCACTGATAATTGTGTTTGACAATTAAAAGGTATTTATTTTATTGTGCCACCAATAATTCTCAATGAACTAAATATATTTAACAGGTAAATACCTTCTCTTTCAGCTGACCTTAGCTTTCCTCATGAGTGTGCTGTTACAGAAAGCTGTCCTCACCAATCTGGTTGTATTTCTGCTCACGCTGTTTTGGGGGTGTATGGGATTCACTGCATTTTATAGACAACTTCCTTCATCCCTGGAGTGGATTTTGAATATTTGTAGCCCTTTTGCCTTTACTGCTGGAATGACACAGGTAAAAACAGTTAATTATTTTATTACTGAATGTCTAAAATATTTGCTATGTTATAAGCAGTTTTTCTACTTTAAAGCTAATTTGAAAGTGTTTTTATTATTCTACTGTAGAAAAGTTTTCATGTCATAAGTAAATTTAAATTATAAAATTTTCCAGATTTTCACTGCTCAATGTGTTTTCCTTTTGGAAATGTGTTTTCCTTTTTGGATGGAATTAAATTTTTGGAAATGTGTTTTCCTTTTTGGATGGAATTAAATTTTTCAATAAATCTGAGGAAATCTGATGATTCTTTTGCTATGAATGAAATATACCATTGCATTTATTTAGATCTGCTTCAGTTTCGCTTAATAATTGTTTTAGTTTTCACTGTAAAGGTGTTGCATATTTGTGCTTTTTTTGTTTGTTTTGTTTTTGTGCTGGGGTTGGAACTTAGGGTCTGGCCCATACCAGTCAAACACTCTACCAGTATGTTTGCCAAGGAACTGGCCTTAGGAGTAGGTTCTGATTTCACCCCACTATGTGATTTTAACTTTGGCTGGTTAACCTGCAAAACTTTGCTGTGTGTCAGTTTTAAATACGTGAACTACAGATAAATGTCAGAAGGTTTACCTCATAGAGTTATGATGAAGATTAAATAAGAAAAGATTTTTCAAAGACACTTAGAACAGTGCCTAGAACATAATAGCCAACATAAATAATAATCTTTATTTGCAACAATAAAATTAAAAGATGTAAATTCTCTTATTATTATCCTAATTATATACTTTAAATTTTTATATTCTTTTTAAAATTTGCATGTCATTTGTTACATTAAATAGATATTTCCTGACGACTTGAAGAAAGGAAGCAAATGAATTTTAATTTAAATTCTGATACTTAACATACTGTATTTTTTTTTCTCTGTTGTTTTATTGAAAGGAGGAGTTAATGCCTAATTTTTTTTCTTCTTGACCAATTTTACTTGCTTGTATCTGGTGATCAGCAGCGAATTTGAAAACAGCAATACGCAATATAGCAACCATTGGTGAATTCCTAACATACTGTATTTTAAGTACTTTCTTTGATATTCTTTTAGTCATTATATAATAGAAATATTTTAACTAATAGCTTTGTTTCCTTACATGTTTGATAGATAACTAGTAAGGATTTCTTGAAAAAACTAGTTAATAAACTCATAACTCTTGATGCTATGCCAAACTACATATTTGCTAATCTATACTTTTATTATTATTTTTGCTTGAATCTTAGATTATCTACCTGGATTATAACTTGAGTGGTGTAACTTTTCCTGACCCTTCAGGAGATTCATATATAATGATAGCAACATTTGCCATGTTGGCTTTTGATTGTCTTATCTACTTGCTACTGGCTTTATACTTTGACAAAATTTTACCCTGTAAGTAGTAGTGTATTTTTCTCTGACCTGTATAGTTATTGGTTACATTGAACAATTTTTCTTAAGGTTATAAAAATATGTTTTTAGAAGTGAAAAATCAGTATTTTTCATCTGAGTCTGAATGAATTCCTTTTTTTCTACTTCATAATTTTAATAGTTCAAAGGAGTTTTCTTGTAAAAATAATTATTCTTCGAACTTCATATGGAAGTATATTTTGACTTTATGATAATAATTATAAAACCTTGTGATTGTATAATAATTAAATAATGCTACTTTAACAAGTACCCTTGAAAGTCTTTTGAATAGTGATACTTAGGATATGTATCAGAACAAGCTGAAAGAAACTTGCTATAGTTTGGCAAGTACAGAGCCATTGCTCAGTGGATATGTTCTCTAAAATACACTTGTTCAACATTAGTCTCAACATTTTTCATATTTATAGAGGTATATTAATTATGTAGTTTTCTTTATTTCACAACTGAATTTCACATAAATCCAAAATTTCACCCTGGCATGGTGGCTCAAGTCTGTATTTCCAGCAATTGGGAGGCTGAGGCATTATGATTGTTGCCAGTTTGAGACCAGCCTGGGCTACAAAGTGAGCTCAAGGCCAGCCTGAACAGTATAGTGAGACCCTGTCTCAAAAACATACACAAAAAAATATCTCCACACATACTAGAATCAGAATGTTTTCATTCATGCCTGATCTTATTTATTACTCTTTTGTATATTTCCTCTATTTTGACTATAGTTAAGGTTGTTGTCTTGGTTACTTTTCTCTTTTTGCTGGGACAAAATACCTGACACCCAAAATTAAGGAAGGAAAGGTTTATTTTGCTTATAGTTCATGGAAGTTTCAGCCCGTACTTGGCAGATTATAAGGCAAAGTGGTACATGGCAGAGAGCTACAGCTCATGGCGGCAGAACACAGCTAAGCAACAAGCACACAAGGAAGGAATGGCCCCAAGCAACCTCTTCCTCTCCCTTACATATGCAAACTATTTACCCCAGGGCGGGTGTAGCTCTCACATCCATAATCAATCAAACTCTAAAATCCTGCCCCATGACCCTATGAGGCTTTGGGGGTACACCCAGACACAAACCATAACAGTTGTCTTACATGTTTATGTGTATTTTGGTATATATTCCTGTTTATGTATAATTCCTAATTTATATTTGAAGGCCATTAGTACTACCTAATTTTCTTAAATTTAGAAAAAATATTTAAAATATAACCATATTTACCCAGAAGTATAATTTCTTCATTATTTTTTTCTTTTTACTAGTGTTCTTATATGTCAGTATTTAGCTTTCAAAATTATATTTAACTGTATTGAATATAATTGAGAACTCTTTCTCTCAAACATATCTACAATTTCTATGTGCCATATTAAGGCTTTATGTTTTCCCAAATATTTGATTTCTTACATTCTTCCAAATATATTTTAGATCATATTTTATTCAAACTTTTGATTTGTGTTTTGTTGAAAGTTCTATTATATTGTTTAATGTTTGCAATGTTATTTCCTTTGAATTTTCGTTGTTTGCTTCATTAAGTTTTCTTCTGAATAACGGGGGGAAAGAAAGAAAAGAACTTTTCCATAATGTTTGAAAGTTCAAGACATTCTGCACTATTCTGAACAGGCTTCCTTACACATTCTATTAGTATTACTGATCTTATATTATATTGCCTCTTGATTAATTAGATGGGAATGAACGCCATTATTCTCCATTATTTTTCCTGAACTCATCATCTCGTTTCCAACGTCGAAAAACTGTTAACAAGATCTATGAGAAAGATAGAGATCCTGAGCATCACTTTGATGATTATTTTGAATCTATAGCCCCTGAATTCCAAGGAAAAGAAGCAATCAGGTACTCACATTAATAGTTATACTAACATGGGATTGCAAAGCTAAAGAATAGTTAATGTTCAGCAAGAGGATGAGCCTGAGGCAGAATATTGAAGCAGAAGAAATTTGTCTTCGTCAACATTACTAAACTGTTCCACTGCCGTCATCACCAGTGTCTCCTATCGGAAAGGAAAATTTCCTTTGATTACCGCTGTACAATGTTACCTGTAACTTCCTATCTTCCCTGCTTCCCTGCTTCTGTCTTCTGCACCCACCACTCTTTTACATTTGCTGTTTCCATTCTCTGAGCTCTGTCTTCTGCAGCTTCACCCAGCTTTTGTTTTATGGTAGATGAAGTAATTTGTAAGGAGTCTTACATCCTAACACCATTCTTATCTCTTATTCGAAGCGTAATATTGGAAAAAATGAGTGATTTTCTCTGAGGCTCAGTATTTTCTATGAAATAAAATCAACATTTAACTTTTTAGGATTGCTATACAATTTGATATGACAACAGAAGCCTACGAGGGACAGTTAAAATATCTTTTCAGACTCTCCTTTCAGTAGTTCCAACTCAGAGGCTATGGGACTGAACACAAGTTTCATAGATTCTTAAAGACCCTGCAGATTTTTCTGCTATGTTTGAAACAAATTCAAAGGAGCAGATATTTAAATATTCACTCTTTTTTGTGCATCCTGCCTTCATACAGTATTTACCATGTGCCAGATATGCACTTAATTCTCACAAAAAGCTTTCAAGACCTGTACTTTTATTTTCCTCCTCTGGCCAGTGAGAAAAGTGAAGTATAAAACAGTTAAGTCTTTTGTCCAATGTCATGCAACTTGTAACTGGAGAACCGGGGTTGATATCCACACAGTCTGGCTATTGAATCCATGCTCTTAACATCTGCCTACCATTGAGATGATAGGTGGCAAAGGAAAATGAATATGTAGAAAGTGCAATGTAATATTTATCTGTAAGACAAAGAGCATAGATAGGCCTAACCTATTTACTTAAACTGCGTCTACCCTAACCTATTTACTTAAACTTCTGTCTGTCATTTTTTTCTGTTAAGCTTTCTGAGGGGAAAATAGGCCACACCTACTACCAGCTAGTACCAGGTTCGTGGAAGGTATTTATCCAAACAAGAAAGGCCAGGTGGGAAACGATCCCCAAAGCATCAATTCCAATGTCCTCAATTGCTTTATACTAGTTGAGAACATACAACACAACTACATTATTATTAAAAGTATAATAATTTTCTGAAACAGGTTCTAGGGCTACAGAGCAGTTTAAATTGGCCCTTTGACTACCCAAAATTAGATACAGTTTTTGACCCTTAAGTCTGTCTTCTTTCTTCACTCTGACCCTTTCTTAGTAATATCATTTCCCTTCCCCCATCATGGGAGGATGTTGAATTTATCCCAATCAATCCTCATGTGTGGCTTTAATTTGTCATGAATATAAAAAGTACTGAAGGATTGACTTATTTTTTCTCACATGGTCTTTGTTTTTCATGTAAAGGAATGATTTCCCTTTCCCTAGTAGTCTTTGAGCTTTATGTATCCAGGGGTATATAACAAAGCTTGCAGAGTTCTAACCAGAATCACAATTTTTCATCCACAACCAACTTCCTCTTACCCATAATCCTTCATTCATGTTCTTCTCTGTGTGTTTTCAAAATAATCTATAGATGGTATGATATTGTGCTTATGTTGCTGCATATTGTTTTTACACTCAGCAGTGTTTTTTGGATTGCTTCATAGTGATAAGAAATAACTAATGTACCAATTTTAACATTTACATACTATTTTAAGACATGAATCATCTTATCCCTTTTGACACTGAATGGCATTCTAGTTGTTTCCAACTTCTTGTTCTTATGAACAATGTTGCAGTGAATATCCTTTTAAGGATAAACAGGATAAAATGATGTTAATATGTGCAAATGTGCATTTGTATGAGAACATGCAGATGTATGTGTGCGTGCACACATACATATGTAGGTGACACATTTGCCATTCAGCAGGAAAATAAAAATAAAGAGCTCTAAAAGAGCTCTAAGCTTTGTGCAGGATAGAACAGGTGCTTTGCTGGTCCTGGCACACAAAATATGAAACAGGGGATGCTGAAAAGGTTACTGGAAAGACCATGAGAGCTTACTTTCTGTTGTTCAGAAAAGCCTTTACTTCACCTCTGAGGCTCATGAGGAAGTCCTGAAGCATGTAGAGGAGTGAATAAAACTATTTTGAAAACAAATCCTCCTGTTTTGTTTGTGGAACATGAATTCTAGGGGGAAATCTGGAAATAAGGAAAAGAATTCTAGGTAGTAGACAAAAAGAGAATTGGCAAGGGACTAAATGAAAATTATTATACTCTATATGAGAAAAAGAGATCTGAGACTAGACCTGTTTCAGAGTGAAATTTTACAAGGCATCATAATTGAGCAGATGATTGATGAATCTGTATAAGAACTAAGACAAGAAAGAAATGTATGTCACATATGGTAGAGGGACAGCTACAGGAAATGATGAAATGAGGTCTTGAAATATTTCTGAATATTCATCTTCTCAAAGTGTGGCTCACATTAGTGTCATCTGAGGAACTTTTTATAGTATCCCAATTCTCAGCCCTCATCAATTAATGTGAATCTTCAAGGGTGGTTCTCAAGCATGAGTTTTCTTTGGATTCTGATATTCATTCAAGTTTGATAATCACTTATATAAGTGTGTGTGTGTGTGTGTGTGTGTGTGTGTGTGAGAGAGAGAGAGAGAGAGAGAGAGAGAGAGAGAGAGAGAGAGAGAGAGAGAGAGTGAGAGAACCTAGAATGACACCATCTATTGTAGAGCACAAAAAAAAAATGGTGTGTATAGTGAAATAAAAGGACCTTACTAGGAATCAGAGAATAAACAGAAGAACAGAAAAAACCAAACAAGTGGAATGTAGACACTTTAAACAAGGGAAAGTCAGCAATAGTGACTCAGGGCAATAAAGCAAGGATGGTAAAGCTTTGTTTCATTTCGTTATTTGGAAGCAACTAATGATTTCAGTATGAAGAGGTTCACTAGAGTGGTTGGTTCAGAGATCAGAGTTCAAGTGTGAAAGAAAAGAAAGTAAAGAGGTGGAGAAGATTGATTTATATTTTATTTTGAGACTCATGTAAAGAAAGGTGAAAAATTCAATTGTCTCTAAAGCACTGAGTTCAAAAGAAGCAATCAGAGAGAATGTGATAAAAATGCAAAGGCTGAGGGTCTGCCTAATGACAAAGTTTGTGGGGAAAGGGAGATAACGGTGATGATTCCAAGAACAGAAAGAACTTCAAATGTTCCTAAAATTAGAGGAAGAAAAAGACATCTCAGAGTATGTGTGTACTTTTCTAAAAAAAAATTGGTAATTTAATTTTAAATTTCTGGGAAGATTCTTTTATTTTCCTGTCTCAGGGGAAATGATTAATTGAATGTAAGTATTTGTGCTTTTAAATAGCCTATGTCATCATTACTAAAGTAATTGATTTGTATCTACCACTATAACTAGGCATATTCATGTTCTATGCTATTTTTACCTGTGTTGACTAAGCACCCCTATATGATTACAGAATCAGGAATGTTAAAAAGGAGTATAAAGGAAAGTCTGAAAAAGTAGAAGCATTAAAAGGTAAATAAATACATTTAATTCTTTCATTGACTCTGAAGCAAGTTTTGAAACTTAACCAACTCAAAAAGAAAATAAAGAATGCAAATAATCTAACTCTACCTCCTTGACATTAATCATGGTTAGGAATTTGTTGGAAAATTCTTCTAGAAATTCTATGGGTCTACTCATTTTTTAAAATAGGATCATACAATGAAAAATGCAGTTTCCATTTGTATTTTAAAGATGACTCTGCTATGAACAATGTCTTATATTTTATAGTTGGACTATGAGAAAAAAACATCTAGACTAAAAGCCTGATAAATTTGTCTATTCAGAAAACTTACATAGTTTATACACACTGGCACAGGAGTTAACTAAAATGAGATGCGTAGGGGCTGGGGATTTAGCTCAGCGGCAAAAGCGCCTGCCTGGCAAGCGCAAGGTCGTGAGTTCGGTTCCCGGTACCGGAGAAAAACCAAAAAAAAAAAAAAAAAAAAAATGAGATGAGTAAAACCGGGCAGGGAACTAAATTTACAAGTTAATATATTGTAATAAAGAGTTTATAACTGAATAAACAAACATACTTTGTTGCCTAAGATTCTAAGAAATATAACTTTCTATAATATATTAAAATAAGCTTTAAATTTAGCAGTTACATTTCATAGTGGCCTACTTATTTTTATTAAACATCATTTAAGAGGTATGGAAACAATTTTTACAAAAGGAAGAAATCTTAAAAGCTAAAAGAAAAAAGGGCCATTGAGGTTATTCTAACTTCAGCAAAGTTCATTTTAGCATGTACTAGGAAGTCTGCTAAGTGATTTATATGTACTTTTTTCATTTAATTTTGTGAAAATCATAGTAATGTGCCACTTATTCTGCAGATGAAGAAACTGAGGCTTAGATTTAATTTTTGCAATAATATGGGTCAGTTCAAGGCCAATGTCCCTTTCCTCTGAAAACTGTGTTTGCTGTTTTAAAACAAAACAGTAAAAGTTGTTAATGTACTTGTTTGATTTATCCAATATTATTCATTAAATAATTCACCATCCTGATGAATTGAAAAGCCATTTGTATTAACCTTTATTTTGATACTGATTTTAAATGTCAATCCATTTTAGACTTCTATCCCACTGGTTCCTGTATCCTGCACCAATAACTTACTATTTTACTTTATATATATATATATATATATATATATAATTTTAGTTGATATATATATATTTCACCAATATCAAGGAATCAGTAACATATTGTTTAAGTTATTGTAGTTCTTTAAGTGTCATTTTGTCAGATAGGAGAATTTTGAATATTATTTAAAACACTGAATTGGTTAATTTCTTCTATATTTAGGACCAGCCTTACCTAATGCCTTCCTATTTGTCTTATACTAAAAACAGGCTTGTACTTTGACATATATGAAGGCCAAATCACAGCAATTTTGGGACATAGTGGAGCTGGAAAATCTTCTTTACTAAACATTCTTAATGGATTGTCTGTTCCAACAGAAGGTAAGTAGAAAGAAATTTCTCAAAGGCAGGACATTTGATGATAGAATGAGTTTATAGGTGTGCTTTTCTCATTTTAAATTGAATGGCTTAAAAGAAATATATTTCTAAAGTTGTTTCCCAGAACTGAATAATTTTAAATATACAGCAGTACCTTGGTTCACAAACTTATTTTATTCCCTGATTCTGGGGAAGATGGCCACTAACAGTGCTTAGGGAAGCACAGTTCCTTCCCAATGCAGGGAAGATGGCTGTGGTTGTGTTCATCACCCAATGTGGAGTTTGGGAACAGAAGAAAAATTTTTCTAAATGCTTCTGTTTGCAAAAGGAAGGGTTCATGAACCAAGGTGTTATTGTATTTCATCTTCTCCCAATTTTCATGAAAATCATCTTTATTCCATTCAATGATATTACAAAAGAAATGTACAATCATATAAATATTTATGATATATTTACGTTAATCATAATTAGTAGTGAAAAAGTATGAAATCATCATTTTGGATATTTGAAAAATGTATCTTGCCAACATTAAATTATTTTTAACTTCTTAGGATCGGTTACTGTCTATAATAAAAATATCTCTGAAATGCGAGACTTGGAGGAAATCAGAAAGATGATTGGTGTCTGTCCTCAATATAATGTGCAATTTGATATACTCACAGTGAAGGAAAACCTCAGTGTCTTTGCTAAAATAAAAGGGATTCATCCACCGGAAGTGGAACAAAAGGTAGATGAGCATGCTTGCATTAACTGAACCATCAATCATTTTGCAAGTTAAAGCATGACCACAGAATTGTCCTCAGTGACTTACCTGGTCTTTTGTAAATAAAATTTGGACAAGAAAGTCCTATAAACAGTACTGCTTAAGTGGGTGGTTAAAATTGCAAAATATACATCATTTTGTTTTAAGAATCATATTTTTTCATATAGGTACAAGAAATTTTATTGGAATTGGACATGCAAAATATTCAGAATAATCTTGCTAAAGACTTAAGCGAAGGACAGAAAAGAAAGTTGACCTTTGGAATTGCCATTTTAGGAAATCCTCGGGTAAGTAAATTTATGCATACAGAGGCAAACAAATTCAATGTCAGTCTTACCTTTTACCATGAAAGTGATAGAGCTTTTAGTATAATTCATAGGTTTTTTTTTGGCACAGATAAGAATAGAACAAAAACAAAAATGCTTTTATTGCAGGCATGGAGAAGACCACAGTAGGAAAAAGAGACGTGGAACTTCTCTGATGGCCTGGCCTGGGGAAAAAGGCTAAATAGGGCCAGGTTGGAGGCGGGGTTTAGGGGGTGGACCGTTTGATGTAGCAGATAGGATTGGGCAGGAGCGTGGAAAAAGGAAATAGGTTATTACAAAAAGGGAAGTAGGAAGTCATAATTTGACTCAGAGGAAGAAGGGAAGGGTTTAGCACATGGCCTCTAGTGGCCAGCGCCATATTGGCTCGGTGCTGGCTCAGCGCCATAGCGCATGACCTCCAGTGGGTGGCGCCATAGTGACTGGCAGGAATTACAGTGAGGCGAGCAATCCATCAATAATGTGTCAAGAGATAACCTGCTATGTTTAACTATGAATAAGTACACTGGAGATAGCTAAATGTTGATTGATCTGTATTATTTTCCAATGAATCATGTGGAAATACTTAATGTGGAAGAGACACACATTTTATGTATCTTCATCCTCTGCAGGTTTTGCTCTTAGATGAGCCAACTGCTGGGTTGGACCCCTTTTCAAGACATCGAGTGTGGAGTTTCTTGAAAGAACATAGAGCAAATCATGTGATCCTCCTGAGTACTCAGTTTGTGGATGAGGCTGACATCCTAGCTGGTAATTGTTGGTTTTAGCTCAGTGTCACAGTGGAAAATTGGGGAAGTTTACATGCAAAGGGTAGTCGTGCAGTAAGAACTGCACTCTCACTATCTAAGCGTGCCTTCTGTCCATGGCAGTATAGGGAGTGACAAGTCTAATTACCTGTGGAGTTCTTCCCTGGTTGTACTTTTGCTGGGTTGTGGTCAGTAGTGAAAAATTGCAATTTTTTTCCAGATCAGTCATCAGTTTATGTAAACATCCAAATTTTTATTAATCCTTATTTGGCTGAAAAATAGCTAATCATTCTTTAGCATCTGTAGTAAAAGATGCACCCATGTATTCTGTGGTAGTTTTTTTTTTTTTTTTTTTTTCCTGCAGAAAGTTTTGGAGGGTGCTGAAATAGATTGGTGTTGATGAGATCAAAATGCAACAATTGTAAGGTGTGTTTTAAATTTTAAAATGTGTAGTAGATTCAGTTATGCTGAATATGATACTTCTTTGGAATTCTGAGCTTTCATTTCTCCTACATATTTTCTAGAAAGAGAAGAAATGACTCCTAACATTCTTTCTCATTTCCTTCTTTTTACTCAGATAGAAAAGTGATCATGTCCAATGGAAGACTGAGGTGTGCGGGCTCTTCTGTATTTTTGAAGAGAAAATGGGGTCTTGGATATCATTTAAGGTAAAGACTTTGGGAAAAGACAGTATGTGTATGTTGTCAATACTGATAAACCAAAAAGATGGACAATTAAGAAAGAGAACTGGTCTCATGCTTCATTTCTGTTATACTGGGTTTATAAGAGTTTCCCAAACACACTTCCCACTTTCCTATCTCCTGGTATCTTTGTTAACGTTAAGGACGGGCAAAATCACAGCATTATAAACCAAGCCTGTCTCTTCACAGCAGGACTACTTCTTGTACTACTTTTCCAGGTCACTTTTCTTTTTTTTGTTTTTTGTTTTTTTTTTTTGGTTTTTCTCCGGTACCGGGAACCGAACTCACGACCTTGCGCTTTCCAGGCAGGCGCTTTTGCCGCTGAGCTAAATCCCCAGCCCCTTTTTTTCTTTTTTTTTTTTTTTTTTGGTTTTTCTCCGGTACCGGGAACCGAACTCACGACCTTGCCCTTGCCAGGCAGGCGCTTTTGCCGCTGAGCTAAATCCCCAGCCCCTCCAGGTCACTTTTCTGCGCAGCCTAAACCTCTACCTTCTTCTCACTTTCCAGTAGTCTCAGTTGGTCCATCCAGTCCCATAGTACATTTTCACAGGGTTCAAAGGCAAATGTTTTCACAAACCAGGATCAAAAGAGAATGAATTGTTTTCAGAGAGTGGTGAGAATTGTGTTTAATGAGAAACTATATGTCCAGGCTAAAACTGATTTTTTTAAAAAAACAAAACCAAACCAAAGCCCTATTGCTGTAGTAATTATTTTTCTCAAAACCCTATCCTGTCTAATGTTCACCTCTCCTTCTGGTATTCTTGTACTTGGTATCTAGTTTTAATCACAATAAGCTTTTGTACGTTTTTGGTTTTTCTGGCTGTACCCATCTTCTTTGTACAAATAAAATTTTCAAACTGGATTATTGCTAATTACTCACTGTAATAGCTTTTTATCCCTGTGACAAAACACCTGAGAAAAAGAGCTTACAGGAGAAAGGATTTATTGGAGCTTCCACTTTTGGAGGTTTTGGTCCATGAGTACCTGGCTCCATTGTTTGTGGGCCTGTGGTAAAGCAGAACTCCCTAGTGAGGAGTGTGCAGTGGAGTAAAACTGCCCATCTCCTGGTGACCAGGAAGCAGAGAGAGATAGAGCAAGGGGCTTGGAACCAAAAGTGTGCTTCACTGGCACACTCCCAGTCATCTGCTTCTCTACCTAGCGCCTGCCCCTTAACATTTCCACCAGCTCTCAATCCATCAATCAGTGAACCCACTGATGAAGGTAAAGCTATCATGATCCAATCATCTTCCAAGATTCCACCTCTGAACACTGCAGCCACGCTGACCAAACTTTTAACACGTTATCCTGTGGGGAGCATTTCTGAGCCTAACCGTCATACTCATTTTGCTTGCTTCACAAATCCAACAAAGTAGTACTCAAAGGCTAACTGTTCAACAAAAATAGTGGGCATAGTGGCTAAAGTGCAAATGGTTTGTCTTTTGTTTTAAATATTAGTTTCTATAAGAATGAAAGATGTGATCCAGAGCAAATAACATCCTTCATTAAACACCACATCCCTGATGCTAAATTAAAAACGGAGAACAAAGAAAAGCTTGTGTATTCTCTGCCTTTGGAAAGGACAAGTAAATTTCCAGGTAACTTGAATATGAAGACAGAGAAATGAAATTTCTCTGAGATCAAATTTGAGATCAAATGTTCACATTGACTTAGATTTTCATTATTTAACAGAGTTGGGTTTTGTCTTAGGTTAAATCATCTGAAAAGCATAATTTGAGAGGAGGACTTGAGTGTATTGAATTTATTTGGTAATTGATCCTCGGTAGTACTAGCAATCAATGGCAGGAAGACACAGGGGAGAAAAGGAAACTAGGACAAGTTTTCATTATTTAGCAGTTGATTTTGGAGGGAGATTTAAGTATAATGGCACTAAGGGGAAATAAAAGAATAAATAAGTGTGCTCAGAGTTCTCTCCTGGAGGGAAGGGGTACTTACCGCTCTCTACTCATCACTAGTTAATGAACACACCCAGGCACATTGACTTTTGGGTCTTTTGTTGTGTTCTGAGTATGAATTTAAGAAACTCATAAACCTGCAATTTCAGCATTCTGGGAGGCTGATGCAGGAGGATTACAAGTTTAACTCCAGCTACGTAGTTTAGTGACTTAGAGAGACTCTGCCTTAATATTAAAAATAAAGAAAGGACTAGAGTTGTAGCTCAGCATTCCATGTAAAGGCCTTGGGCTCACTGCCCACCATATACTCACCCCACACAAATGTCATATAAGGTTAGAAAAAGAATCTTAGGCCAGTAGGAGGTTTTTAAAAAGTAAAGCTACCCTGTGTAAGTGAGTGTAGACAAAGTGAGGGTAAGCACTAAGGCCTCTGCTAAGGTTTCTCTTTGTATTTTACTTTAGTTATTTGTGATATACTTATTTTGCAGAGAAAAAACATAGTCTACTTATTTTACAAACGTTTTCAATATGGATTTCCAGCCTGCTGGGTAACACTGCCAACAGACTTTGTTTTAATGAGGAACCCTAAAAGTTCACTATTTGTTCAAAGCGTACTATGTGCCAGCCACTGTCCTTGTGCTTTCATATATATCAACTCAATTAGTACTCATAACTATTTCATAAAGTGGGTGCTACACTTTTCTCTTCCAAATGAGTAAGTGTATTTTAATCTCTTTTGATTTAAATAGCTTCTCATAGTTTAGTTCATTAAAGGTTTAATGCTTTGTAGTCCTAATTTAAATAAGCTTTTTAGAAAGATAATTTAATCTCATTGGACAAAAACTTAAGAATACAGTTTTAACTCCACTCTCCAAGAAGCCCTCTCCTGAGCCTCATACCACCATGAAGATGGTTTCTATACTATTGTACTCTGTTTTGGCCTAAGGCCCCATGAGGTATGACTGGTCCAACTTTCTTGCTTTTTTTTGTTTAGTTAGGGAAGGACATTAAGGAGTTCTGTGTATGCTGGTACCACCAACTGGAAATGCCATTTAGCCAGAGTCTCTGGTGTTTATACACTGTCCTACAGAAGCTTCTGTATACAGGCTCTAAGCCTGTCCTAGTATAATGGTTTATTTATGTCTGTGCCTATTCCAGGGCATGGGATTCCAGATTCCTCAATGCAGTGTGCAGGTCATGCAAAAACATGTTGCTTGCTACAGCCTCCCCCATTGAATTGAGCTCCTCTCAGCAGCAATGCTGGGTATTTACCCTACCCCTGTAGAAAATGTCCGTGGGTATCTTCTTCAAGAAGCTCACATCCTTGGCCACATAATCCCCGGATAGAAATAACTAATAAGTGTTTGCTGAAAATCTGTTACATAAGGAACACTGCTTCAGGCGCAGGAAATACAGCATTACATACAACATATGAGTCCCTCTCCTCATGGAACCTACATTCAACTAATGTAGGGGAAGAGTAGAACAGATGAAAGATAAAGTTTATATGTAGATGTCTTGGTTACTTTTTTCTCGCTGCTGGGACAAAATACCTGACACCCAAAATTAAGGTAGAAAAGGTTTATTTTGCTTACAGTTTGTGGAGGTTTCAGTCCATATTTGGTAGATTACAAGGCAGAGTGGCACATGGCAGAGAGCTACAGCTCAGGGTGGCAGAACACAGCAAAAGCAACAAGCACACACCAACGAGGAATGGGGGAGGAATCGCCTCAAGCACCCTTTTCCTCTCCCTTACATATGCAAACTATCCACCCCAGGGTGGGTGCAGCTCTCACACCCTTAATCAATCAAACTTTAAAAGCCTGCCCCATGGCCGCACGAGGCTTTGGGGGGACACACAGACACAAACCATAACAGTAGAGTATTTAATAAAGCCACGTGAGTTGGACTGATGACTGGTGTCTAGCTAGGTTTAGGTTTATATTGAACACTCATAGAAGGCCACAGAAGAAAGGCCACAGAAGAAAATGGCCAGATGTACTTTAGTAGGGAAGAATGGCATGTCTGGAGGGTAGCGAATGAGGGAGCGCAGTGGAAAGCAGACGTGGGTAAATTTTTGTGGGGCACATAGAGCGTGGCTTTTCCTGAGACATAGAGGTTTTCGTAGTGACCTTGTCTAAGTTGATTGAGAAACCACTGAAAGACATTAAACAGGGATTTGATGTGATGTGGTTCTCATTTTCATGCTCTGGGTAAGGATAACTCTGGATCCAGGAGAACAAGAGTGGACACTTGGAGATGAGCCCTGGGACCATTTCAGAGGCCCAGGGGAAATACAGTGGTGACTGGGCTACTGTGGTGCCGTGAACATGGCTTTAAGGGGAGTCTTTGAAACATATTTAAAAATAATGCTATACCTCTGGCTGATGAAGTTAGGAAAGGCAGAGAATCCAAAAAGATTTCTACATTTCTGGCTCTGATTACTGAGTAGAAAATGGCAGCATTTATTGTTCAGTAAGAAGTGGAAAGTTTGGGCCAAATGGGAAGGAAGAATCAATACTGGATTTTGGAAATGTTAACATAGAGATGCCTTTTGATTTACTAGCCATTAAGTATATAGTTGGTTACAGGATATTAATAATCAAAGGACAAAATGATATTTGAATTTGGAAATCTTCAACAAATATATGGATTATAGACTGTATTTGTGAGTGTGGAAGGAGAAGGTGGTCCAGGGCTATAATTTTGGGTAAAAACAGAGAACCTGGGGAGTAGTTAGAAGCTGACACAAGTGGATACAGTTGGAAGAAAAAAACTGAATAATGCGTTTATAATGAAGAAAGAAAGTGCTTCCAGAAGGTGAGACTCAGTGAACTGCTTTACATGTCACTGAGTTAGAGACAAAAAAGGGAAAGACTCAGTTGAAATAATGAAAGAAAAGTAGTTTCATTAAAGCCTAAAATATGAAGTTATTGGTAGCCTGGAAAGCAACAGTTCCCTTGCAGGGATATGGATAGCAAATTTTGATTTTCAGGAGTTAAGTGTCAATAGGAGGTGACAAAGTAAAGGTAAACAAAACTTTGGGGCCAAGTGTGCAGGTGAAGAGGGATAAGGTAGTGATTTTGTTTTGTTATTACATATATTTGTTTAATGGATATAGCATTTTACCTATTGTTTGAGATGACTTAATAGATGTAGAAGAAATTAATGATATAGGAGGAGAGAGAAAGTCCTTGATAGTCTGATAGAGGATGGATACAAGGCAGAACTGAGGTCAAGGGTGTAAGCTTAGATAGGAGCAGCTGCATGTCTTGCACCCGTACAGAAAGAACCAGCGTATGGTTAGAAGTCCCATGGATTTGTACTGTGACAGTGAGATGAAAAGATGATGATATTTCTGATTACTATATTTCCTCAAAGACTGTAGGATATTCATAATTTAAAGTGGAGTGAATTAGTTTGAACAATGCATTTGATATAGTCACTTCAGAGTGAGAACATTCTAATGAAGTTTTGCTTATATTACTGTGACATTGCAAAGACAAAAATGTTCTGTACAATGTTATGCTTCATCTTTCACAGAAGTGTTGATTTCCTGGGTTTAGTTATTGATGTTGTTTTTCAAATGTGCATATTTCTGTTTGATGTCTTAGACCTCTTCACGGATCTTGATAAGTGTTCTGGCCAGGATATGGTGAGCTATGATATCTCCATGTCAACTCTGAGTGAAGTCTTCATGAATGTGGAAGGAATGTCAGCTATCAGCCAAGGTAAAACCATGTGTATAAGTCTCAGAAATCAATTTCCAATTGATCATGTGTCAATGCATTATTTATATTTCTCAGGTATGATTCACACTAAGGAATGTGACTCATTCCAATTTTGACTGAAGTTTTTGAGGGGCAATTATTGTTCTTCAACATCATCCGTAGATCTAACCACAGATTTCATCTTGGAATCTACCTAATTCCTCTTTGGAAACTATCTTCTCCCTGCTTTAGGAGATTTTTCCTACCTTCAGATGTTCACTGCTTCTTAGACTCTCTGAGGCTTTGATAGTTCTTAACCAGAGGCATGAGTTTCTTATAAAAATTATGCTTAGCTTGTCAATCCAAAAAAAAACTCCATTAAGGTATAAATAGAGAGGATTCTCAGTCTCAACTTCTTAGTATTTCATGGGCAATAATAATAAAAGCTGTCACTTTTTTGGGGTATTACCAAATACTTTGATCCGTGTATTTCTATACATTGAGATTCACCTATAACAGTATCTTCCTTCAGTAAATAATCTTTCCAACAAGTGTCATTGGTCGCATTTTATGGCTGAGAAAATCGGACCTAAGAGTAGTTAAATGTTCCAAATTGTACTGCTTCTAATTCATGTATGTGGGATTCATTCACAGGTCTATTTGTCTCAGAAATAATGAACTTCGGCCTGCATTACTAGGTTATTGATTCCTTAGTAGGTATATGGACATTAATGATTAACTATTCCTAGGGAGAATATTTTTTAAAACCCCTTAGAATACTGTTGTCTTTGAGACTTTTTCTTTCTAAACACTCTTTGAATTCTTCTTTGGTATGAACTTAGTATACTTTCTCACTGAGTTTATAGAATTTGAACATTACTATGTTTCTTATACTTTTTGCATAGTTTTATGGTTATAATACAAACATTATTTTAAAACTTCTAATATGGATCACAATTGGCAATTAAAAGATAACTATAAAAAGAAAATATTGAAGGCAGTGGTGAGCTCTAGACTTCATAAATACTCAAAAATACCATTTAAATAATCCCTTTGAAACTGGTTATAGGAATAAGTCAAATGTAAAATAACTTTTCATACTAAAAGATCTGTGGTGCCCCAGGGTACCATTAATGCTATGTGTGTATGTGCACAGATTTTGAACATGCAGAAATTCTGAGTGACTCAGAAAACTTCAATGAAAGAGAACCAGCTTGCTCTTCTCTCCCTGAGGTACAGAAGCCTGTGGGTAGCATGGAACTTTGGAGGATGCAGGTCTGTGCAATAGCACGGCTTCGTTTCTTAAAGTTAATACGTGGAAGAAAAACACTTTTGACCCTGTGAGTACTGTGATTTTGTTCGATGGTGAGGTTCAAAAGATGTTCAAACCAGAAAAGAGTTTAAAACTAGAATACCATACCCAGCATTTGTGCCAGAGGACAGATAGATGAAACATTTGATTTCACTGACAGGAAGAACACTTGCCTATTAACCCTGAATGGACTTATGCATGCAGTTGTGAATATTTTAAACAGTTTGATGTTTTGATGTGTATATAGTCATTCCTTTTGATGAGATATGATTTTTAGAATTTTAATAACTAGAACTGTAGTTCAGTATAAAGTAGATTTGATACTAAAAAATAATGGGGTCTTACTGAGTAAATAAAGTTGCAATCAATTCATATAGTAATTTTTTATTGTTTAGGCTATTGATATTTGGAATGGCACTGTTCCCTTTGCTTTTGGAAGAAATAGCTTATTCCATGATAGGGAACACTGAGGACTGGGAAATTAAAACAGAACTGTATTTCCTCTCTCCTGGACAACTTTCTCAAGAACCTCGTACCAGCCTGCTGATCATCAATCACACAGGTGAACAGAAACCCAGAAACAAGTTATTTTTATTGTTAAGGAGCATAGGTTGGGTGCCCATATATTACTGTGATATGATGTTTTCAGATCCTCTGGGAAAATACCCAGAAGGGAAATAGCTGGTTTGAATGGGATCTCTAGACCTCGTTTGCTGAGGAATCACCAGAATGATTTCCACAGGGGTTGCACCAGTCTACACTCCCACCAACACTGGAGAAGTGTTCCTTTTCTCCCCACAGCCTTGCCAGCATTTGTTATTGGCTAATTTCCTGATGATAGCCACTCTCTCTGGGGTGAGATGAAATCTCAGTGCTGTTTTAATTTGACTTTCTCAAATGACTAATGATGTTCAACATTTTTTCATGTATTTATTTGCCATTAGTATTTATCTGAGAAGTGTGTATTCATCTCAGATGCCCATTTTTGGATTGAGTCTTTAAATTTGGAGGGGCTGATTATTTTTAGAACTTTATATGTTCTAGATAGAAGTCCTTTGTCTGAGGGACAGTCAGCTAAAATTTTTTCCCAATGTGTGGGTTTTCTTTATACTCTGTTGGTGATTTCCCTAGATGTGCAAAAACTTTTCAATAAGATGAGATCCCAGTTGTCGATTCTTTGAAGTATTTCCCATGCAATTTGGTTTTTTTCATGAACTCTTTGCCCACCCCTATGTCTTCAAGATTTTTACCTATTTTCTCTTGCAGTAGATTTAGTGTTTCTGTTTTAATATT